TCCCCCCCCCCCCCCAAAAGGTCCGGGGCCCCCAGCCACTGCCCCAAGGGTTAGCCAGCTCCAACTGATACTAGGGGGGGCAGCAGATGGCGCTGGTCCCCCTAGTGCGTGCTGGGAAGGTTGCATCACCCATCCTGCACCCCCTTGGGCTGCCCCCTGCAGGCCTGGCTGCCCCCCCCATCCCCCACACCTGCCAACTGGGGCATTGATGAGGCTTTCTCTTTCCTTTGCTGCTGGCTCCAGCATGCCATCGCTTTTTGTTTGAAGGAGTCGGGGAGTAAACCTCCTGTGGTAATGTATCTGCTATGCCCACCCTGCTGCGCTTTCCCTGCAGCCTGCCCTGGGCTGGGGGGGGCTCTAGGGTGCCCACCTCTGCCCCATAGTAGCTGGCACTACCCACAGCTTGCCCTGAGCTGTGGGTGCTCTGGCCCTGGCACTAGTTCTAGGAGTGGTGCCTGGTGCAGCCCATGCCAGGTCTGGGCAAGGGTGTGCCCAGGCTCAGGGCCTCGTGGCATGCCCCCTCAGTCAGCCTCTCTTGTGTCAGCCTCCCATACTGCCTGGATCTGGGCTGCCCAGCTTCTGGTGTGGGTGGGAGGTTGACACCCCTCCTGGCCTCAGCCCCTTCTCCCATGCCCCTGGGGGGGGTCCTTTGGACCCCAGTGTCTGGGCCCAGACCCCCAGTGTGGTGCCAGCCAGGGCAAAGAGGCTGCCCCCCTTCTCTTCCCCTCCCCTTCCCTCTGGGTATCCGTCTGTCTGGCTGCTCTCTGTCTGTGCCTGCCGGCTGTGTCTTGTCTCTTGTGTGGGGGCCTGGATTGCAAAGGGGGAGTCTCTCCTTGTTGTCGCATCCCCCCCTACCCCACCCTGCTTCATCCCTGCCAGGCCTGTGGGGCAGTGCTAGGCCCTGGAATGGGAGTGGGGCTCAGTCAAACTGCCCTAGTCCTGCCCCTTTTACCCCTGGGACCCCAGCCACAGCCCCTCCCCTCTCCCTTCTTCCCTCCCCCCTACCCCCAGCATGTGGTGCCATGTCAGGGTGTCTCCCCCTCCCTTCTGGGGGTGAGGGGGGCACCAGCTTGGGGGGTGGGGGGTTGGTGGGGGGAGCAGGTGCCTGCCTCCAGCTTTTGGTCCAAGGGGTCCTGCACAGAGGTCTGTGGCCCTGGTACTGACACCCCCCCCACCCTCCGTCCCTCTACTTTCAGATCCGGTACCGGAAGGACAAGGTGCTGCCCACACAGGCACCCTGTTTCCCTGCCATCACTGGCCTGCAGGACCTGGCCAGTGGTGCTGCCCTGGCAGCCATGCTGCACTACTACTGCCCCCAGCTTGTGCGCCTTGAGGGTGAGCTGGAGGGGCACCTTGGGGCAAGCAGGACTATGGTGGGAGAGGTACAGAGCCAGGGAGGGGGCACTGCATGCCATGGAGGGCACTGTAGGGTGGGGTGGGAGGGCAGGATGGGGTGCAGGGGGCTTGGCACTGCAGGGGGGCTGTGGGGGGTGCCATGGGGTAGCTGAGCACTGGGTGGGGACTGGGTCCCTGAGGTGGAGGATGTTGTGGGGGCTGTGTGTGACACCCCCCCCCCCCCTCCCCCACCGGGGGCCCGAGGGGGCCAATTCTCTGGGCGCTGTACAACCTGCAACTGCTGCAGGACTTCTGTGCCCGGCGCCTGGGAGGAGGCTGCCCGCTGGCCTTGGAGGACCTGCTCTACATGCCCCCTGCCCTCCGGGTGAGCAGGGGTGCCAGGCTGCCACTGGTTAAGTCCGGGGGGGGGCAGTGCATCTAGGCTAAGCTATGAAGGGTTAAGTCCCTGGGATAGGGGGAGGGCACTCTGCCTGGCTCTGGCCTGTCCCCACTTCTGCAGCAGCCAGAGGCCCCTTAATGAGGCCCCTAATGAGGCCCTGTGGTGCTAATTGGGCCTGGCACCATAGGGCAGGGATGCCAGCATCTGCTTGGCACAGCCCACCTTGCAGGGTGCGGGGAGGGAAGGGTCTAGTTTTCCCAGTTCTCATGGGCCCCTAAGGTTTGGTGGTGAGGAAGGGGCTGGTGTGTAGGAGGGGAGTCTCCACAGTGCCCAGACCTTAGCATGGGTGCTCCCCCACCCCACACACACACAGGTGAACATAGGGGCCTTCCTGGCCGAGCTCTTCCTGTGCTTTGAGGTGCTGAAGCCCGACTTCGTGCGGCCCCGTGACCTAGGAGACCTCAGAGGTACCATGGAGAGGGCAGGGCGGGGGGTTCTCTCTGCTGTGCCTGAGAAGGCACCACCTTGGAGGGGGAGTAGGAGTAGGTGCATTGGGTGTGGGGGAGGTCTGAGTGCCCTCTACCCCTGGGAGCTGTGCCAGGGTGGGGGCTGGGCTCCAGCCTCAGCGGTGGGGGGGTGGGGCCTGGGTGGGAGTTGCGGGGGCAGGATTTACCTACTCTGCACCCTGTCAGGGATGGAGGGGACTGGTTGCTGGGGTGGGGACAGCAGGGCTGGTAAGGTAGGGCTGGGGCTGAGGCCAGTGCTGTCTTTGCAGACTCCCCAGGGCTGAGCGATGCCCTGACTCCCAACAGCTGCGGCAGCAACAGGTGAGTGTGGGGGAGCAGCTGGGGGCCCTGATCCCCTGAGGAAACACTAGGGGGCTCTGTGTTGGGGGGCAGCTGGGGATGCTGTGCTCCTGTTGCAGGCTGGGAGCCCAGGATAGTGAGCATCCTCTTGGGGTCAGGGGGTGGGTATAGCGCCCCCCTGGTGGCCACCGGGTGCAGCACACCCTGCACCTGTCCCAGGATCTGGTGGGGGTGTGCAAATAAGGGGCTTGGTGCATCAGGCCCTCCTGTCTGACCTGCCCCCAACCCCTGGTCTCTCTTACAGTGGCTCCCCCGTGTTCAGCTTCCGGCACCCATTCTTCCCTGGGGCAGCAGCACTGTCCCCACTCCGTGGATCACCTGGTGAGAGACCCCCTGGCAGGGTGGAAGGGGCTCTGGCCTGGTTCCTTCTGCTGGAGGTGTTGTCTGTTGGGGGGGCAGGGTCGGAGCTATTGGGAGGGATAGGGGGTGTGAGCAGGCCTTGATTGTATGGGGGCAGGGGTAGAGCAGAGTAGGGGACGG